CATTAAATGGCACACACGTCATACATGCCCACATGGGAGGTATTGCTTTGGCAATTTGTGGGCAATAAAGTGTTTTCTGTAACACTTTACAATAAGTGGACATTAACGCATGCTAAATTACAGTGGGATTCCTATGGAACGACACATTACGCTCACATTGATACCAAATGTGCTTATTGTGAGACACATCATTGCAGCAAATATCACAGGAATTAGTGCAGCATCAGAAAATGCCTGCAATTAGACCAGTGTGGTGAGAAGCAGACACCCATTCAGTTGGTGGGCTACTCACATACCAACACTGTCTGGCCTGGCGTGAGGGAAATTTTGGTGCCAAGTGGCTTGCGTAGTCCTCTGAGGACACGACACTTTTATGCTAACGTGCGTGAGAACTTCCTAGAACCTAAGATCCGCAAAATCCCCAAGGACTACCGCTGTGTGAGCTTTTTGATAACAGGCACCTCGCTATGGGAACTGAACTCAAATCTGGTGAGAAATCCAGGGCAGATGTGAATTCAAATTTCTTGGAAGTAAAAATTGTTTAACGGGAACAAGCCGCTTGGGGAGTGTTCCGGAGTGTCCCTCTCTAGGGTGCTGTAAGGACAAGCTTGGCACGCAACGGGCTTCCTTATGATCCCATTCTCCTCCCGCACCCAAGGACTTGACCTCCGAGAAAGAAGCCAGGGAAGTTCCCAGCGGTTAAGTTGTCTCCTGAGACACGGGGCCTCGTAGCAACCTCTCTGGCTTCAGAACAGTTCCCAATGGAGAGACTCACGAAACTACAAAAAAAGCTCAAATGTGCTCTTGGGGCAGACTCATAAACACACTGAAACATGACCCCAAACATTACCCATGGCCAGGATGCTGGGAGACATGAGAAAGGAAAGCCCTGTGTTTCCAAACCTCATATTGAGCGAGACAGCGGCCAGCACAGCTCCCTGAACTGGGCCTGTGAGGTGGGCATCCCAGCTCTGCTACCAACTGGTTAGGTGGTTTAACCTTTCTGAGCCTCAATTTTCTTCAATGTAAAATGGATTGATTATATCCTTCACAAGGCTGTTGGTGAGTTTTAAATAAATGATCATTTGTAGAATATACAGCACAGTCCCTGGCACCTAGCAAGGATTTCATGAGCACTAGTATGACCTGTATAACTAATATAACTAGCATAACCTCATCTTTCATTTCTTCTTCCCTCTCCTTCCTCACCCAGCTGCAGTCTTCATCTTGCCCCAACACATGGGTACTGATACCAAAAGTAAGGTGCTTTCAAAGACTGCACCATGAGCAGAGAAGTCGGCTGAGGGGAGCCAAGCTCAGGTACCATCCCAAATATAAACTATCAGAGAGCTTCTCGCAAATGAAACAGCCATGTCATCCCCTTTGCTGGTCCCCCATTAGAGTGGACCATGGAGTCTACATTTCTTTGTTCCATTTTCTGGTCTTCCTGTGTTTTGCTCTGGCCATGGGTATATTTTGCAACTAGCTATTAACTAGCATGCTTGTATTGAGATATACAATTTGTTGAGCATTTTTTAAAAATATATTTTTATTAATTTCAGAGAGGAAGGGAGAGGGGGTGAGAGATAGAAACATCAATGATGAGAGAGAATTATTGATCAGCTGCCTCCTACACGCCCCCAACTGGGGATTGAGCCCACCTGGGCATATGCCCTGATGGGGAATGGAACCATGACCTCCTGGTTTATAGGTCAACACTCAACCACTGAGCCACACTGGCCAGGTGTTGTGCATTTTTGAGCACTTACTGAATATAAGCTCTGTTCCTGGCAAAAGAGCAGATAAAGGATTGAATCAGACAGGGGTTCTTTACTCGAGAAATACATAATCCAGGGGATGAGATAACACTGCCTCTGAATAAGTTTGCTCCCTATTTGGGTTCCCAAAGAAGCATTCACTAGTTTATATTTGTAAGGTGATTAAAGCAGTGATGTGCTGGCATGTTTACCAACCAGCTCACAATGTTTGGGGAAAGAACAGGGGGAAGATACCTGTATATGTGTGTACATGGGTTTATTATAAATTTTACTGATTTGAAGGATGCATAGCACATAATCCTATATAATAAAAGCCTAATATGCTAAGTGTCCCGTCATCTAGTCGGCCATTCAACCAATCAAAGCGTAATATGCTAATGATATGCTAAGGCTGCTCAACTGCTTGCTATGATGTGCACTGAGCACTGGGGGGGCAGACAGCTGACCGGTCAACCAGTCGTTATGACATGCACTGACCACCAGGGGGCAGATGCTCAACACAGAAGCTGCCCCCTGGTGGTCATTGTGCTCCCACAGGGGGAGCGCCGTTTAGCCAGAAGCCAGACTCATGGCTGGCGAGCACAGCAGTGGTCACAGGAGCCTCTCCCACCTCTGCAGCAGCACTAAGGATGTCCAACTGCCGGCCATGAGGAGCAGGCCTAAGCCGGCAGTCGGACATCCCCCGAGGGCTCCCAGACTGCGAGAGAGCACAGGCCGGGCTGAGGGACACCCCCCCAAGTGCATGAATTTCATCCACCGGGCCTCTAGTTTATAAATAAAAATAAGTAAAACTCTTTACTGTAATTCCACATAGAAGTCTTTTGCCAATTTTTTATGAACTCATGTATCCATTCTCAGTTTGCAAGTGATGAATGAATGTAGTTCCAACATGAATAGTGGTTGATATTTTCATTTACATTAATGAGTAGGACAAAAGTGAAAAACGAAGACATGTGTCAGAACTATATTCGTTCGTCAATGACATGAGTGACTTCTTTGCCGAATCAGATAATGGTTTTCGAATACTGGAAAAATATTTCCTCAAATGTTTGTGTAGTCGCAATGTAGCAGCCATAGACGTGACACACTTCTATGTTTAATCTGCATTATTAACATTTTCTCCATCACTTTCTTAAGTCTAGATAATCAACAAAACAATAAATCAAGTGCTGGTTTGCAGCATTTGCTGGTTGCTGTGGTGTAAATATGCCTATCATGGTCAATTTCAAGCTACCAAGATGATGTCACTGAATATGGAATTGGGATAAGACACAGAATAGCCCACCATTGTCTAGTATGTCAACCACACAGAGACTATGGAAATAACCTCAAGAGCATAGATAATAATAAAATACAGTAAAAGAATGAGGAATTGGTGACTTTAAGTAATTATCTTTGTTTTGCATAAAATGTATTTAATTGTACCTGATCCATGAGTTTTCTTCCCAAGTTCCAGTAGGTTCTTGAAGATCTACCCCATCCTTTTCAGGGGCCACTTTTCAGCATGTGTTACCTGAGAGCAAAAACAGATTTGGTGTGCTGCATTCCCAGAGAAAGCTTCCTCCCACACCAGCATCTTCTCTCATGTGACCTCCCTGGATACCTCAAGGGTTTCTCTCAGTGACCCAACCTAGGAAGTGGGTCTATTAATCCCCTGAAGGCAGGATTCTCCTTGGGCCTCTGGAGGGCTTTGTTACTGAGTGGTAGTTTGCTTATATTTTTATTCTAGAGTATTTTTCTTCTTTCTCTCCTCTCCTTCCTGTCTCTTCACCTCACAATTCTATTATGTGTCTAATTCTTTTGGTGTCTAATTCTTTTAGAAAGGAAAGAGCAGCGTTAATATCGTTGCCGACTTGGGCCTTTCTCTGTAACATGGGAGAGCAGAGCTGAAAGAGGTAGAGCCTGGAGGAAGCCTGGAGGGAGGGATGGGGCGAGTCAGCTGCATCACAGCAGATGCCTGGGCCCAAGCCGCACGCCATCACCCCCCACCTACCTCACCCCATCCCACCCAAGCCTGAGCCATGATTTAACATGCATATTCCTGAGCCTCACCCCAAACCTGCATTTCTGGGGTTGGAGCTCAGGAGTTTGCTTCTCAACAAACTCCCCCAGCAATTCTCACTCATGCTCAACACGGAACCACTGACTTGGACCCTCTGCATGGAGACCGCCTGACTTCGGGTACTTTGTTCTAGTAATTTGGGAGTTTTCATATGGCAGGCGAAGATGGCTTTGATTGGTTCTCAAAGAATCTGGCACCTTCGAGAGTAATGAGAAATGAACAGTATGGAATGATGGAGTAATTCTCTTCATAGGCCAGAATAGCAGAGAAAAGTAAGGGAAGCTAGCCTCAAAGACAGGAGAAGACAGTAATTAACACCCTAACATAAAACGATAATGCAGCTGGCACATATGCAATCCCACCGGGAACTGCAGATTGCATCCTAGCATCCCGCTGTCACAAAGCCCACAGGATGCAGCCCACACTGGCCAGGGCAGAGCCTCTTCAACGCTGAATATTCTGCCATGTAGCAGGCACATTTATTTTATTCAAAAGAAGAATGGTCCTGGTGCCAAGCCATCTGATGGTAAAAGGAGATATATTTGACGGATCATAAAAACTGGTCTGCCACAGCCTTCTTATACCACGTTTCTAATGTAAATGCATCTGGTAGGTGCAGCCCGTACCTCCGATGTGCAGATACCTGCAGAGAAAGGCAAGCAGGGACTAGAAGAACCGAGTGGGGAGAGGGAGGAGTATGGCCGGAGAGAGGGAGACGATTATTTTTAACAATAACAAACAACAACAAAAAACCCACTTGGCAAACATCACTCACTTTTCCCAACCTGTTCCTGTGATACAGATTGACAGCCCTTTTAATATGAAATAAATCAGGCAGGAGAAGGAGTGTCTGGAAGAACAGACAGATTGAGGGCTGAGTGACGGGACGCCTCCAGAACGCGTTCTGTTTGCATTTGCCTCGTAGTTGCTCACTTGAAAAGATGTCAGGCTCTTTGAAGGCTGCGGGGATGTGTTTTGAACCTGGAGGACGAGCGTGCTCGAGCTCCTTGTGCCAGTGGAGCCCTCCTGTTGGCACGAGTGCAGGGCATGAAGATCCTGCAGATACAAGAGGCCCTTTCCATCTCCCTCCCCCACCTTGAGGTAAAAAGGCATTTTGTCCAATATCTGGTCTCATATTTAGCCAGGCCCAGCCAGTCATCTCAAGCCAGTGTGCTCACACTGACGCATTAGGGCCTGGTCACTTCTTACCAAAAAAACTGGCTGGTAATGAGCCGTGTCACCTTTTGAGGTGTGTGGTCAGTGGACATCCCTGTCAAGTGCACCCCTGCCTTGGTCCAGCCTTCCAGATGCTGAAGTTCCTTTGGTTAGCTGTCTCCTTGGATGTCCTGGACTGTCCAGTGCTCATGGGTATCCTGCAAAGCAAATACCAGTACCCATTAGTCATGAGACAACCAAAGTCGGTTTCAACATCTCCCATGGCACAGGAGGAAGTATTTCTGCTCTAAGGCAAGAAAATGCTTGAAAGGTGTGGGGTGAGCCAGGAGTAAGCCCGGAGGGCAACAGGAGAACAAGGCAGCAGGCAAGCACAGGAAAAGCATCCAGTGCATGACTCCTGTCTCCATTCCAAAGCGCCACACCTGCCTCTCTTCTGCCAGGGGACCCTGCCCAGCCTTCACATTACCAGGCACAGGTATTTAATCCGAAGATTTGAAGTCTGGCTCCTGCTAGCATGGCTCTTTGATCAATTAACGGATATTGGCTGAGCCTCGGTGACGTGGTGGTCCCCTGGATGCTGGACTAGAGTGATAAATGATTCAGACAAAGCTGCTCTCATGGAATTTGCATTGCAGTGGGAGACAATAAAGAAACGCAATGCTACCCCAACAAGGTAAGTATAGATTGTGACAAATGCTGTAAAAGAAAGAGAGTTGATATGGTAACTGACGCTTACCCTGCCAGACAGAGGCCTACTTTACCTGGAGTGATCAGGGATGGCCTACCCAAGGAGGTGACATGTGAGCTGATACCTAAAATGTGAAAAGAACCCAGTTATATGATGAGCAGGAGGAGCAGGTCAGGTAGAAGGAACATAGTGTGCAAAGGCGCTGAGCCAGGAATGGTCTCAGTGCAATGGTCTCCAAATGGGCTGCACCGCCTCCTTGCAGCACCTACCTCATGGGGCTGTTGTGTAGATCACAGGAGATGAAGCAATGTCTGCAGAGTGTGCCTGGCATCGAGTCAGCACTCAAGAAATGTGGACGGCTACGATGATTTTCAAAGATTTGGGCTCATTTTGGGAGTATTGGGTGGGATGGGAGTATTAAGTCACCATCTTGGAGACATTCTGGGCCAGCTTGCCTGAGTCCCCATGATATCAGGTCACCAAAAGCATATGAGAGCGATTATAAAGAAATTACTTTCCCAGCAATTAATCATCAGTATAAGACTGCCAATACACATCATTGCTGCATTATGACACATTGCATCACATGATGAGAATGCAGAGTAGAAAAGGGGCCATCTGGAGCTGACCTTATTTAAGTCAAATCAATTGAAAGTCAGTGGGAGTTTTGCCTGAGTAAGGGTCAAGACCAATTATCGAAAGGCATAAGAGAACACGGGGATGCTTTTGAGGGTATTAGATCTTATAGTAATTTTTCACAGTTCAGGGATACATTGAGGTAGCACCTCTATAATACAGAAAATCCGCTGTTTATAAAGTCCCTTATTTCAATAGAGTCTATATGCATCTTTTAAATTTTCTTAGCCGAAACCGGTTTGGCTCAGTGGATAGAGCGTCGGCCTGCGGACTGAAGGGTTCCGGGTTCGATTCCGGTCAGGGGCATGTACCTGGGTTGCGGGCACATCCCCGGTGGGAGATGTGCAGGAGGCAGCTGATTGATGTTTCTCTCTCATCGATGTTTCTAACTCTCTATCTCTCTCCTTTCCTCTCTGTGAAAAATCAATAAAATATATTTAAAAAAAATAAAAAAATAAAAAAAAAAAATAAATTTTCTTGGACAGATGCAAGAATACAGTAAAATGTACAAAAGGGTTAAGATATGTATCTAGCCCAGGACAGATTGCTCAGTTGGTTTGAACGTCATCCTGTGCACCAAAAGGGTTTCAGGTTCAATTTCCGGTCAGGGCACATACCTAGGTTTCAGGTTTGATCCCCAGTTGGAGCATATGCGGGAGGCAACCGATTGCTCTCTTTCTCTCTCTCTCTCTCTCTCTCTCTCTCATCCTCTGTCTCTGTCTCTATCTCTCTCTCTCTCTAAAAATCAATAAAAACATATCCTCAGGTGAGGATTAAAAAATATACATGTAACTAAAATTAAAGTGGGATAATAGGAAGACAAAAACTTCTCATTAACTATCAGTTATGCTATTAACTCGGATTATCTGTTCCTCTACAGTAGATATAGCCGGTGGATATTGGAATGTCCACAGCTTAGTTTTAGCCATCAGATTTCTCCTCCATCTTGCAGGTCTATCTGCTTTAGAGAATTAATTGTATCATAATATTGGCTTAAGTTTTAATTCAGATTATAAATCTAAAAAGAGAGCTATTTGGTATTTTATTCCAGAGCCAGCATTAGCTACGGATTGTTTTTCTGTGGGTCTACTCCATTCAAGTCCTCTCAAAATGCCAATAAGCAACTAGAGCAAAGGCCCTAGGTCCACTGGTGGTCTTTCACTGGCACAAGCTACTGAATCTTCTCCTCAGGAATCTCCATGCCTGCTCTGCACCTGATGGCTCATCGTCACTGAGATTCTCAATGGCCCCAACAGAACCATTTGCATTTTGAAACATCTTGGTCAAAAGACTTCAATGTCATAAATATTTCACATGTCTAACTTGATAACTATATTCCCAATTTGATGAGAGGACAAAAAGCAAAAAATGCTCAGCAGACTGTAAATAATTTGGAAGCAGAAATCATCTTTTATTCTCCATGCCCTTCATGTCCTGCACTTATGAAGTCTCCAATGAATAAGTGCCCTGTAATTGGTAAATTACCAAGGAGTTGAATTGCTTTGTCTAGACAGACAGGATTGATTTGGGCTGTAAGCTGACAACGTTACACTTCAGATTCTATACACAAGTGGTAATAATATTTCCTGCCCTTGAATTTTGGTACATAATCTACCATAGGTCTTAAACTGGTCAAAGGGAATCAGCAGAAACTTTGCAGTAAGAGATTCTTGAAATGTGAACAAATACAAAGTTGGGGGGTGGGGAGGCATGTTTTGCGAAATGAGCTCCTGGTTTTAATGAGGTTAGCGAAGGGGTTTGCTGGCTCAGTGGTACAGATGGTCTTCAGGGAGGCCATGTGAAATACTGCCTTCCAGGCAACCTGCTGGAGGGTGTGGGGGCAGGGAAGGGCAGGAAGAATAATTCATCCACTGACTCCCATACTTCAATGGCCTAAGTTTTGTTTTATGTCCACTTGGAGGATGTCCTTGGATGACATTACGTTGAAATTAGTGACAGCCTGCTGGCCTTCACACTAGAACTGCACCATCAGCTCTCCTGGGTCTTGAGCCATCTAGGGTTGGCCCACACTGCAGATTTTGGACTCAGCCAACCTCCACAATCAGGTGGGTCCATTCATTACACACACTAACTAGTAAATCCCTATATTTCCAAGCTGCTTGTGCAGTGGTGCAGATTGGGGTTCTGAGTAGTCTCATGCATCAGTGCCCAAGGGTGGCTCATGGACAGGCATGAGTTATGTTGGGTTATGCCCATAAAAGACAGTCACCATGGCAACCTGGGGCAAATCAAGTGACCAAGGGCCCCGGGGTAGTTTAGGCAAAAGGATGTGAAGTGATGCCTAAGGAGCAAATGAATGTGGGATGGGAAATGCCAAGAGCAGGTTCTGATTCTAAAAGGGTATGTTTACAAAGCCACCCACAGTGACCTATGAATACAGTGAGGAAATGTGTGTTTACATTCCAGTGGGGTAAATTTTCAAATAACAAGGCAACATATACTCAAAGAGTATCTATGTTCTAATGTCATTAGATGCATGATTTTGCAACAGTTATTTAGCTTCTTAATTCTTGATTCACTGATTTTTAAAATGAGAGCATTGGGTTGATGATGTCTAAGCTTTCTCTCAGCTCTAAAATTCTGATCTTTTCTATAATGTGGACAAAGAATAGAACTCTAAAGATTACACAGCTCTCTTACATTAAATGTCAGAATTTGCAAATATTTCATTAACAGAAAATAATGCACCAAAATCAGTATGATGATATTGAGCATAACTAAATGTCAAGTCTGAGATTTGGGTCCAAATAATCAAGTCTATAAACAAAGATGAGGGGAGATTTGACTTGAGAGTCATTTGTATTAAACAACAACAGCAGTGTAGAGATTGCAGGGGGGTAGGGGGGGAGGGTTGAAGGTGGAAGAGGGTATGGGGAGATAAATGGTGATAAGAAAAAAATTAAATTTAATTTAAAAATAAATAAATAAATAAAACAGCAGCCAACCCTGGGATTTCTGTTGACCCCAAAATCTAATGAATCGACTGCTGGATACGCATGTTCTTACTGGAGTTCCTTCACTCAGTGAGAGGTTGGCTAAGATGGGCTGGATGGACTCTGAGGGTCCTTCTGAAGATTCCAAGCTTCATTCATACCTATCTCTTTCCTTTACCCTTTGCCTCAGTACAATGAGATTGTGGCCCAGGGCACAATCACCTCAAGGTCAAGTGCTCCGGTAGGATTTTAATGGGATTGCTGAGTGGCACAAGGTCACTCAGAGAGCCTCTCAGCTTTTCCTTCTCCTCACCCTCCCGGGGCAATTGTTCTGGATTGTGGCTCCCCTGCCTCTTGTACAAAGTCACCTAAACACAAAGCTCACAGCCAGCCTGCAGTTTGGGGAATCCTCCCTCAGCAATTCAAGAGTTAGAGGCATTAAAGGTGGCCCCCTGGAGTGCTCCGCCACTCTGCTGACTGGAACCAAATCTATCTGAGGCTTGGAAATATGATCCAGGTGGGGACGGGCTATGATTTAATGTCATCCAAGTACAACAGGCCACACTTCTTAAAGAAACCGTTATAAATTATTTGTGCCTAATTCTGCTGGTGGATGGAGGACATGGTATAGTCTCAAGTACAAGAGCCCAGCTTGTATCTAATAATTGTTATATCTTCTCTGAAACTGACTGCCGATGTCTCAATTTTAACAATTTAAATAACAAGCTTAACCAAGTGGAACGAGGCTCAGGCAGGCTGGCACTCTTGATGAAAGCAGGACAACTCTCATGTCTGAGCGCATTTTTACTTTGACATGAGCGGTGACACGCAGAGATGAAATCTGGTTAAAGCGGCAGCCTTCTCAACCCCGTGACAGCTTCTTAGGCTCAGCAAAACAATTTCCAGCAACTGCACACACACTTGTTAACTTTACTCCAGAAGACTGATTAGAAACAACGCTTATGAATATGATAATCAGAGGTGAGCGCTGGAAAGGTAAGCCCGTGGAGCTGGGCAATTGGCATGTTGTTTTCTTCATTTTTAATGGGCCGCTCTATAATAGTCTTAATTTTGGGGTGCATCTAGTTTGCTTAGAAACTAGACGGATTTCTTCCGTGCCCCAGGTATTAATGATGACAGCACATTTTTATTTTACCTGCGGCTGAACTGCTGTTGATACTGTGAGTGGTCAGATATGATTTCCTGTAGATTGCTCTCATTATCCTTTTGATGCTCTTCATTCCACGTCCTGAAAATTTTTCCCATTTCAAAAGCTGTTCCGTGCTCAAAGTTATGTAACACATGCAAAGCAAGGCCAATTTTGAAAGATGTTTGTGTCCTTGGGCGGCCATGACACAAGGTCGTGCTGGGAAGTCACAACATGACTTGTAGAATTTCTCCCAAATTACAAGGTCGTGTAGAAGAGTGAGGAGACTAGCCTGTGAGGTAAAAGATTTTGGAAAAGCCACTTAATCTTTCTGGATCCAGTTTCTTCTTTAGTAAAGCAAAGAACTGGGTTATGATATCAAGTTCCTTCTAGCTCCAATGTCCTATGATCTTATGCTCCTAGTCTAAGGGCAATTAAAACGAACTCAAATTCACTTGCATTATTTTAAGCTAAATATCAAAAGTCTTAATAGCCACTTTGTCAAACAGTTTGGCAGTCTCTTAAAAAGTTAAGCATACACCTACCTACCTTATGATCCAGCCAATACACTTCTAGTTATCAGCCCAAGATAAATGAAACCTGAAATCTATATAAAATCTTGGACACAAATGTTCACAGTATCTTTATTTGTAATAGCCCCAAACTAAAACAACCCTAATATCCATCAGCAGGTGAATGGATAAACTGTACTCTACTCACACAACAGAATATTACTCAGCAATAAAAAGAAATGGGCTCTGTTTTTACCTATCCTTTCCTGAGGAAGAGAGACGTGAACTGAGTTTTCTAGAATAGCCTCCAGTTAGTGTCCTCATGGGATTGCCATTCAGGCATGTCCTGGGTCAATCTCCTCACAGTGACCTAACCAAAGCCACATAGGCCTCCCTCTATTACAAATCTAAAGTCACAATAAATTGTAAACATTCAACTCTCCAAAGCTTTGAACACCAGAAAATATAGTGCAATATAATAGTGCTACTCATAATATAATGACATGATTTGTTTGAAGACATTAATCTGCAAGGTTCTATCAGTAGCTTTGTCCTATATAGGAAATGATTATGTGAAAATTTTTCCTCCATGGTTAGGTAGTCTCTTTGGAAGGGAACGTCAAAAGTCTAGGCTGAGGCCCTTCTTGAATGTCAGGCTGGTTTCCACATTTCTTAACACCCACCTTGCCCCGGCTATCATTACAGACTCAGTCCCTGTGGTGAGCCCCACATTTGAAAGGGTGGAGATCCCAAAGGAAATCTGGGACACTTCACCATAAACGCAGCCAAGCAGCATGGAAGCTTTCCTGTAAAGTTGCACAAGTACACACGCACACGCACACACGCACATGCACGTGCACACACACAGTCATCCACCAATTCAGAATTTTTGCAATCAGAAAAATAGAAGTTTCTTTACATTAATGGTCTGTCCACTTGTGGATATTATAGCAAGTGCCCCAGACACCATCAGAAGCCATCCAAGATCTAAGAATTGTCTTCATATGTGTTGCTTTTAGGAATTCCGGCCACCTCACCCACCAGGGATTGCACTGAGCCTGGATACTGCATCTTCTGTGAAAACATCTCACCCAAACAGAGACTCCTCTGACTGAAGGGGTTCAGCCCAGCATCATCTGACTGAGTGTGACCTGGGTCTCTGCCACCTGTGTCACTGACCACCTTCTCTCTGCGCCGTGTGCTTCCACATGCCTCGCTCCAGCCCTTCCCTCCAGGAAGTAGGACAGAAAAAAAAGATTAAAAAGCACACACTGGATCCTGCTGGGCAAGCACGGGGCCACCCAGGGCACTGCATTCAGGAACCGAGGCTCAGGATAGCCAGTGAGAACCTTGAAGTCAGAAGTAGGTTGCAGATGCTCAGATCCTGAGGCATGCTGGGAACTACATCAGGGATTCTCCAAAATGTTTGTATACCAACCCATGGTAAGAGATACAGTTTATATTGTGATCCAGTACACAGACACCCACACGTAGACACAGATATAACCATCTAACTGAACACTGCCCACTGCAGAACAGCTATTTTAAACTATATTTTGAATGAACAAAGCAAAAGCAACCCTTAGTGAAATAATACTATCCCCAGGTGCAATGCACTCTGATATCTTCTATCCTGTTCTATCTTTTCCATGTCTTTAAGAGGGTAGCAAGTTGCAAACCCACAGGTGATGTCAGTACCACTAAAAGGGAGCCCTGGCATGCACTGCCTGCCCCTCACTGAGATGACTGACACCTGTCACTTAGGAAGCAAGGGCTTGGGGACATGGCAGGCTAGCAGGCCGGCTCTGGGCTGTAACGGGAAGACTGGTGAGCGAGCCATGGCATCACAGAGCAGCAGGGGAGCCATGTTCTTGGCCAAGCGCAAGGGCACTGCTCTCCGGGTGCAGACCTATGCCCTGTCTCCATGTTCCAGTCCACACACTCCCCCTGTCCCCTCATTGGAAACCATTCCTCAAGCCCAGGAAGATTTTGCAAGTGGAGTCAGAAGTCAGACCGGCGATTGCTTCGCTTGCGTATCATTCGAAGGATCGAGAATGGGGGGGAGGGGGGTTGTGTAAGCTGCTGTGAAAGTCACGGGGTAACTTGGCAAATGAGAAATCCACTCAGACCCACAAGGAGCACAAAAGTAAGGAATTAAACAACTTTATAAATAAAGGATCACAACTCTTGATGCACTAACACACACTTTAGACCTACTGAAAACCTCCCATTTCAAGATAAATGAAGAGCATTTCCTGAGCTGGACGGGCTGCTCTCACAGCCACGCGCTGGGGGTCTGAGCTCTGGGTCAGCCAGGGCTGGGTCGGTGTCAGGGACCCAGGAGGGGACGGTCCCTGCACTTCTATGAAGAAGGTTGTACCTGGAGCCCCGTTTTTCACTAAAGGGATGTGCTCGGTTTGTACCTGATGAAGTCGGGAAGAAAGTTCTACGCCAGTGCGTTTGCCTCCTCCAAGTTTCATCATCACTCACCAAATAAGCATAATTGCTGCGCGTTTAAGAGGTGCCGGGAACAGAGGCGCTGCCGGTAATTGCCTAATGGGCAGGCGAAATGAGGTGTGTGGCACATCGGTGTGAAGAAAGCCATCGCCACAGTTTATTAACATTGAAAATTAAAGGAAGCCCGGCCCCAGCCAAGCAGCCCTCGCTGAAATGAATCCCATTATCCCTCTGATAACGGCATGGGGCTCAATTGGATGCCACCCAGGGGGCAGAGAAGCCTGAATGCAGGGCACCTCTGCCGGCTTGGGAGCTGAAGTTCCTCTGGTTCACAGATGCTGATCGCAGAGGAAACACAAACACCCTGCCTGCCTGCGCTCCTCCAGCTCCACTGAACTCCATGGCCTTTGTGGAGCAGTGACGAGGCTGAGACAACTGTATACCTTCTGACCTGGTGCCACTTTTACCATTGCTGGATGGAGTTTGCCAAGGTGTGTTATAGGTGCTGGAACTAAGTTCTACCAGGTCCATTGGAAGGAAGCGGGGGTCCAGCCTGGGGCTCAGGAACCAACCCTGCCTTCTTTTTCCACCTGGATCATTTTGCTAAATATTGGAGGCCAGATGCACACTGCGGCCGGGGGCCTCTGCCACCTCTGCCACGGTCCCCTGCCCACCGTGGCTTTGTCCGGAAGGAAGGACATCCGGTCTAATTAGCATATTATGCTTTTATTATTATAGATTTCTAGATGTCCAGGGCTAGAAGGAGAGCTTTTCTGAACCTCAATCACATCCCATCTATGCAGGAAACAAGGCTGTCCCGGGTAAAATAATCAGAAAACAACCAGTGTGTGCTGCAGCGGACAGCCTGAGGAAAATACAGAGAAAGGAGAACTCCAGAAGGGCACGCTGCTTAGGGAAAGGAAAGGCAGAGGGAACCGCATGGACAAAAACTCACGGACAGGAGGCTCTTGGAGGGAGGAGACCCACTGGGGCAGATGGCAGGCTTTGAGCTGGGAACTAGTACACAGCAAGCTTGGGTGGATAGAGAGAATGGCACAGGGTGGAGTCTGGGCTTAATGTTGGATTGAAAGGGAATCCTTTTAGGTTTCAGAAAATTACAGGAATCATAGGATTAAAGCATTTAAATCATTCTACATTGAATTTGCTTCACGTTTAGAAAAGGTTTCAATTTTGTATTTTCTTTCTGCCCTCCGTCTCTGCGAGTGGCCTTTGTGCCCCTGGAGGCCACCCTTCCACCTGCTCCAGGTCCCCTCCCTCCCCTCTTCCAGGACACTCCTCCACAGCTTCTTCCCTCCTGCTCCCACCAGCATGCAGGCCTGCAGCATTTCCATCACAGAAGGGAGGGAGGGAGAGAGGGAGGGAAAGGAGAGGAGAAGAAAAGAAGGAAGAAGGAAAACAAATTCTTTCTTGACCTCACATTTCAGTTTCTGTCCCATTTCTCTGCTCTGCCTAGCAGGACAATTCCTCCAAAGAGCTGTCTACACTGGCACACTGCACACCTCTCCTCCCATTCTCTCTTGAACCTGCTCCAATCAGGCTTGACCTGCCGCATGTCAAGGTCACCACTGACCTCTGTGCAATGGCCAATTCTCTATTCTCATCTTATTTGAACTCTCAACAGCTTTCCTCGCTTGGCTCCCAAGACACAACTCCTTCTCGGCCCCCAGCTAGCTTCTTCCCACCTCTAAAAATGATAGCACCCCGGGGCTCAGTCCTTGGACCTCTTCTCTCTCTAAATTACCCTGAGTTGATCTCATCTAGTTTCTTGGCTGAAAACACCATCTACATGCTAACAAGCCCCTAATTTACATCCCAGTCTGGACCACTTCAGACTCCAGAGAGATCTCTACTTGGACAAGCAACAACCATCTCAAATTTAATATTTCCAAAAGTGAACTTCTGGTTCCTGCCCCACCTCCCAAACCCACATGACACACACATGCATCAAAAACTCCTCCTCCAGCAGGCCTCTCAGTTAAGGTCAACTCCCTCCTATCCTTTTGCTCAGGACCAAAACCTTAGTCATCCTTGACCCCTTGTGTATCCCATATGCCAATCCATCAGCAAATCCAATTTGACTGTTTTCAACTATATCTAAGACTCTGACCATTTCTCACCACCACCTCCACTTGCCTATCTTCCACGCTCCAATCCACCATTCCCTGGCCGGGATAACCTGCACAGCCTCCTAACGGCTCTCCTTGCCTCCACCACCCTTGTCCCAAAATGGGCCATGCCCAACACAGCAGCCAGGGTGACCCTTTTAAAGTAAAACTCAAATCATGTCACTTCTCTGCTCACAACCTTCTAATGACCTCCCACATCACTCAGAATAAAATCTGACATTTTTTTAGTGGTCTAAAAGTCCTGTACTCTCTGGCTCCAACTACTTCCCTATCTGTCCTCCACTCCTCTCCCCTCACTCAACCACACTGGCCCCTTGCTTTTCACACAAACACACACACACACACACACACACACACACTCCTGCCTCATGACCTTTGTATTACTGCTCCTCTGGCTGAAATGGATTTCTCCCAGATAGTCACATGGCTCCCTCCTTCAGTTCCAGCGCATGTCACCTTAGGAGTGAAGCCTTCCCTGACCATCCTATAGAAAACACAGTTACACTGGTCCCCCAGTTCTCTGCTTCTGCTCGGCTTCTCTCCATTCAGCTTATCACCATCTGCTAAACCACATTTCACTTGCTATTTATTCATTGTATCTACATTAGAATATAAGCTCATTGGGGGCAAGGTCTATGTTGTGGTCATTCCTGTGTCGGCACCTATGGTGTAGTAAGAGCCCAAAAGTACTTGAGGGAACAAGATTTATTTGAACCCATCTTTCAAGCACCTGCCTTTTACAAGAAAGACACAAAAACTATTTCTGCTCCAGCCATCCCTTGCCAGGTGGCTCAACATCCAGGGCCTTGACAACTCCCATGGATGCCACAGAAAATATCTTGAACACATGGTGTTGCTGGCATCCCCTTTCCTCCATCCCCACACCCTTCAGGGTTCCCAAGATGAGTTTATTTCTGCCCTCTGTTCCCTTGCCTAGGAAATAAGTTTTCTGATGCCAGCTGCTGCCTGGTTGCTTCCCACCAAAACAGAAGTAATTGACTGTAGCCCACTGTTTCCTTCCATTAAGCTGAGGGAGCAGTGGCCGGGATATCAAGTTTCAGCTCCTTCACTTACTTACTCTGTGATTTCCACCAACTTTTTTAATGTCCTGACTCTCAGTTTTCTTAAAAATAGAATGGGAAAAATAAAGCTAACTTCTAGAATTATCGTGGGACCCTATGAAATGAAGAATGCATAATGGTTGGCATACAGTACTTGCTCACTAAATGTTGATTTCCTTTCTCATCCCACCAGAAGGTGAGTTTAGAATTACTCCAAAATCACTATTTCTAACCCAGTATTTGACCATGGCCTTCCAGCGATGCCTGGCCAGGGCTCACCTGTGATGGAGACCATCATGGGCTTATAAACTGTTCAGGCCATTCTCTCCCTTCTCCTTTTCCCCTCCCCTTCCTCCTTCAACAAGCCCACCGAGGGACAGGCTGCCCTTGGCATCCCTCTTGCAGTCCTTCCCTGTCCTGCAAGGGTGGTGAACTGAATTCCGAAAAATGACAAGTCATTACAAACATATTGCATGTTGTAAATGAAAGAATGTCCTTGTTAGAAAGCCAAATGACTTACTTTGAGAGTAACTTTAAATGTTAAGGATAGGATATTGCAAATGCAGAGTGTAATATCCTATACCTAACACTTTGGTATAACACTTTAAATATACATGTGGTGCTCTAATAGCGACCCACATGGACATTGGCATGAGTTTTTTAACTGGAATGCTCTCTGACATTAACTCTCCATTACTAAGCTCTCTATTGATTTGGGTTCGTCTCTAAAAGTTCAGACTTGGAGAATACTCAGGCCAGGTCTCCTCTGAGGAGGGTGGCATGAAGAGTTGGTAATTATCCAATGAATTCCGGTAATTATGCAATGAATTACAAATTGTCTATACCAGTGCTTCCTGGAATGTTTAATTCAGTATCATACCAGTGAACTTTCTAGGACACCTTTGTGGGAGTAGGTTGGGAAGGGTGTTGCCCAGTGGGAGGGCCTTGTCCAGGTACCACTGCCCTTGTATTTGCTTATCTACATCTCCTCACCCCAATACGTTCTTATAAACACATGTAATTTCCATGATGTTGGCTTCAGTAGGCCACCATCCTCTCTGCCTCTAAAGTTAAAACTCTAAAATAAATTTTTAAAATACTACGGGAGTGGGAGAAGAGGTTCAATGAGGGGGGGAAAGAGGGACATCTGTAATACTTTCAATAATAAATATAAATTTTTAAAAAACACAAAGCAAACCCTAACTGGCTGTGATACCTTGGGTAAGTCACAATCTACACTAATAGCTTAACTAAAGTTCTGTGATTCCTGCTCTGCAAACAAGACTTTGACACACAGGTCATGGACGTCTTCAACAGTTAAATAAATAATAGGCTCTATGCTCCAAACTCAACATAGCTGATAGATTCCATTCTCCCAAAGTATATTTGATTGTGGTTGTTCCCAGGTTCCTGCAAACTTACTATATCTATGAGCGCAGAATTTGGCAAAGTTGGTCCAGCATGAGTTACGTGCCTTTTGTTGGACAAATTGTTTTCCTGATGTTCACTTTCAACAACAGACTTTATCAAAATGAATGAGTGCCAGAAGCTGTGTAGCTTTGATGATGAATGAGTCTGGAAATGAGGGCAGATACTTCTAAAGACATAGCATCTCTCCCACTTTCAATGGTCCTTTCCTTTGGACACTCCCATGACAAATATTCATTGCAATTTCTTCCAAATCTGATGTTGACAATACTAATTAAACTCCTGAGATTTCATTTTCCCTTCTGGGCCATGATTCATATCTGGCCAGAAAAACATAGCGGGATGAATCTGTGGTTGTCTTCAGGGTAACTACAGGGCAAGAGAAAGCTTGTTAAAGCTCTCGTTTCTCTGTGAATTCAGGCTTTCTTCTGGGGGAAATTGGTAGGTCCATTTCTCTCCTCAACATGGCCACATACACACTTGCCACAGAAATAGGGGTCATGAAACCCATTGGGGTCAAAGTAGCGGGTGTGGCCATCACCTCTACTCAAGGGGTCTCCATCAGTCAGTCAGAAAACTAGCTGGTCTCCCTCAAAAATGTCATCATTGTCTTCAAGACCATTTCAGGTCTTCAACCAAGACCATGTAGCACTCATGCTGTTGGTATTGAGGCATGTTGGGGCAGGGAGGGTGAGAGTACTTACTCAAGAAATGTTAATTCAACATCTTCTATGACCAGTCCTGTGCTAGAACATTGAATACAGCAGTTAAGGAGGTAGAGATTGTTGCTGTCCTCACAGATATTGCTTTTTGATTTAAAAAAAAAAAAGCCCTAGGATTGTGGTTAGAAAGTCAGCATTTGACTCCAAGATCCTCCATTTACCTTTCTGAACCTCTGTTTACCTTAAACAGAATGAAGATGATAGCCCTATCTTCTTACCTATCTACTCATAGCATTCGAGAAATATGTTGACATGCTTTGTAAAATATAGAGCACTATGGAAAGATTAGGTATGAATAATATAGAAATGTATGATGCTTTCTCTCATATTTAAAAGAATTAAAAGCAGGGATTGAACAGATATTTGTACATCCATATTTATAGCTGCATTATTCACAAGTCAAAAGGTAGAAACAACCCAAATGTCCATCAGGAGGTGAAAGGTTTAACAAAATGTGGTATATACATGACTATTATTCAGCTTTAAAAGGAAGGAAATTCTCGGATGCTCACCTTCAGTTGTTTCCATGCTCGGATCTCTCAGGTGTGCATCTGTGCTGAGCAGGGATTTCTTCGTTGAATTATAGATGGTAAACTTGTTGAAATGTCAGGGGGAAAGGAAAAGATTTGTCCTTATGCTGCCATTCCTCTGATGTCACTGTCAAGGAAATTCAAATACTAGCTACAACATGGATGAAACTTGAAGACATTATGCTACATGAAACACATAAAACACAAAAGGACAGATATTATGTGATTCCACTTACCCACAGTACCTAAAGCAGTCAAATTCACAGAGACAGAAAGTAGAACAGTGGTTACCAGAAGATACAGGGGGGTGGAATGGGGTGTATTGTTTAATAGGTACCAAGTTTCGGGTTGGGATAATGAAAAAGTTCTGGAGATGGATAGTGATGATGTAAATGCACTTAAAAATAGTTAAAATGTTTTTTAATGCTTCCAGGAATGCAGCTGTGTCCAGGTAAGTGCCAAGGTGAAGTGCAAGCAGCTTTTCCTGGAGGAGGCTTCTTAGCATGGCATCAGCTTAGTGAATTCCCACTGCCCCAGGTCTTCAGCTTGAAGGCTCAAGACCCTGCCTTTGTCAGCACAGAGAGGACTGGCCCAACTCTTTTTGGACACACACCAGGAATATAATATTCTATGTGTAAAATCAAAACACTTCATTAGCAATTTTAGTGAGAAATCACTGTCAGGGATAATCTAAGTTAATGTCATCACTGTGTCTGCTTTCTGTTGGCAAATGTTCACAGGAAGCAACAATCTGAAGGCTATTTGATGAACACTGAATCAAGACAAAAAAACTAAATGTGTACGTGGCACCATGATAGGATAGAATGTTCTTATCAAAGGAACCTGCATCCTTGAAGTCTGTCACACACACCTAATGGCTAGGCTTCCATCACCGCATTAGAGACACCACTGCCAAAAGCTTCAGAAATTACCTGTCAATTGACTTCCACTCTCTCTGTTTTTGTCCTGCTTCCATGGCTGAGCAATCTTCCCCCTTTCTGATCAAATCGTTTTTTGTTTAGATTGTCTAATAAAATGTTCAAATAGGTGTATTTGAGTTGTGTAGGCTTGCGGAACTATTTCAGTTTCTTCAGATGACTTCTAGTACCTCCACTCTGATGTATTTGTGTTGAAGGTTTAAATCTCAGAGAAAAATGACAGCCCCTCCTATGGAGCTCTTAGGGACACCTACTGGAGCCCCCACGTACTTACAACAACTACTATCACCCATCTTTTCCAGTTATCTCAGCATATGGCTGACTAGGGAGAAGGTAAAAGATCTCTTTTGTGTACAGTTGAGCTGGGAACGCCAACGGTGACTGATGCAGAGATAATGATCTCGCTGGAGAGGTAGAGCCTCCCTCTCTGTTCTCCTTCAGCTCTGTGTGCCAGTAATTGCCTGATGTCCATGACAAATCGCAGGTAAATCCCAGACTGAGCTCAAAATGGACTTTAACTATTTCTCTTCCTGACAGGCTCTGTGCAAAGAGGCAAAGGATTGCTGCCACTGAGGATATCTCCACTCGAATCTACCTGGTGGAGGTCAGGAACAAGGGTCCAGTGTGAATTTGACCTTAAGCAGACCAGATCTGCAAGTAAACAAAAGGAACGGTGGTTTCAAACCTAGTCACTTTCTTAATCCTCTATAAGCACACACATTAATCACTGCAAATTCTTATCCCAAAGTGGAATTCTCCGGAAGAAATCAATTTATGGAGGCAGATGTTTCTTCTCTTGCATGTATTCTGTTAAGCAAAATAAATTGCACAACTAGCAAGATTGATAGTAATATTAAGTTCATAATGACCCAAATCAATTCTGAGTGCGAGACCTGGAAAGGTCAGTTGGGGACAAATTTACGGCAAAGGCATGGATGGTTCTTGGGAGATGCAATACTATTCTGCTATGTGCTGCCTTTAACTAGAAAACATGGACTTGGAAGTTAGACCAACCTATGGTCAATTCCCAGCCCTTCTATCATGTCATTCTGGGTCATGGTTGGGCCATTCCCTAAGTCATAAATGGGATAATGAGATTTGATGGGCCAACTTTGGGATGCCCCAGCCCCCTTCAGCCATCAGAGAATGAGGACTTTGGCGATATGAGAGGTACCCAAGCTCCAGCAGGGCAGGCTGCCCAGGCACTGACCTAAAGGAAGTGGGTGGAGAGATTAGAGCTCTATTTGCTCCTCTTGTCTTTCCCCAACATCCCCTATAAGATTATAGATCCCCTAAGACCAAATCACCTCCATTTTAAGCTGTCCTCACATTTGGAACTCCCATAAAGAGCAATCAAGTGAGAAGTACCCTCAGATTCCCATTGCAGGTGTTCCACGATGCAGCGAGTCATGTGAATCTCCCCTTAGCCCAGCGGATTCTCTCCATCTGTGCTGGCCATTCAATCGAGACTGGTATTTTCTGATGTGCAGCTTTCCTGAAGAAAAATCAGTGTTTCCATCCACAACCAAAAATAGCCTCTTTTCACCCCAATTCATATCATCGCCCCATTTACGAATACATTTTGTGCATCCACCTTCAAGGCTGTTGTGCTTTCATAGTGCTTTTCCCTTTCGTTTTACACAATTTCCAGTTATTCCCTATTTTGTTCTCTTCAGAACACTGCTTGTCACATGTTTTCACCAGAAACATTCATCACCAAGGTCAAAGGGTGAATATTGTGATCTATTATGCTTAGAGGAATCTAATGAAAAGCCACATAATTATCCAATTTAAAGAGGAGCATGTAAAAAAAGGGGGGGGCACTTGCTATAATTTAAATTGTTTTGTTTCCCTAAAGCAAAATTCAGCACCTGATTGACAGGACCTAATGATAATTCTTATTGATATGGTGATGTTAATTGTGGAGAGATATTTAATAAGCCCCATATTCTGGAGGTAAATGCGTGCTCTTAACCTGCACCTGAACCTGATTTTTGATGCAGCGTGGGGATGAGGTACAGATACAGATAAGTGAGCACAAGTGGATTTTCAGTCTTGTGTGGCAGAATGGAAATTGGAATCTTCAGAATCTATTAGGAGAACAATTCCACAGTTGCTCACACTTTTATAAATTATACTGTATATTACAGAAAGACACAAAGTCAGGAGAGGTTCAAGAGAGGATATTGTCGTGACTTTGCTGAGTAGTTTTTAGGGTGCTACTTGGCGGTGGCATTGTGTTCCTGCTTTTAACCAAAGACACACACTGAAGAATGGATCTGTTTTCATTTTCAAACAAAATGGACTAAAGAAATCCATTTCCACTGTCACCCCTCTCCACCCCCAGGTAAGGCTGATCTTCCAGAAAATGAGGCCAACTTTGAAACACAGGTAGATTCTTAGAAGAAAATGAATTCTTGCCCCATGAACGAAACCTTTTGAGAGGCTCATGGGCCTAAATTCCAAATGGAACCAACTTGAGGAACAGCAAAATCTGTGCCATCCTGAGATCATGGACATAGCTGTTGGGGCTGTGGACCCAGCTGGGATCAGCAATGTCTTTTTTTTTTTTTTTAATTTTTTGGGGAGACAAGCCCATCATTTGGGAACTAATATTCATGTAGACATCTTTGGGCAAATAATAAAAAGTGAAAAAACTGAAGTTACTCTAACAACAAACAGACTTTAAAAAAATAATCAGAGTGGCTTACATTGGAGGGAAGGCAAGTTGTGGACTTGAGTTTAAATTATTTTTTTTTAACTCCAACTTCACTTAGTTGTGTTTTTTTCTTAGGAAAAAATAGCTTTAGATATGGTTAACCTTTTCATGTGATATCCTGATTGCTATAACTATTCTTGCCAAACTATATTTCACTTCAAAATAACCAAACCAAAGATTGTTACATGTAACCTGAATCACAAATGGGTCACTGTCACCAGAAACTAAGAGCTACCAATCTACAAATAAGAACGGGAGAGCCAACATGTAATGATTAAAAGGGTGTCCCAGCCCTGGCTGGTGTGGCTCAGTTGATTGAGCCTTGTCCCATGCACCTGGGTGGTGGGCTCAATGCCCAGTCTGGGAGGAGGGTGCGCAGAAGGCAGCTGATGAATGTTCCTCTCTCACATCAATGCATTCTCTCTCCCTCTCCATTACTCTTTCTCTAAAATCAATAAAAACATATATTTTTTAAAGTTCTTAAATAAAAAAGCGTGTCCCAGAAAACAAGAGTAATCTTTAATGAACAAAATATTTAAAATATTCCAAGTATTCCAAGATAAGATTCCTCTGAACATGGCGTCTGGACTCTGGTATACAGTAGATGATCAGTAAATGAGCAAAGACCACAAAATTATTTCTTTTTGCTTCCTGAATTTGCATCATTGTTTTTGCTTTTAATGCATACCTCTTGGAATATTCCAGATGGAAGTTATATTGACATCAAACCACGTATTCACCGTTATTGGAAAAAAAAAAGTCAAGTTGATTGGAGATGACCAAATTGATGGCGGGTTATGAGAGCAATGGCAGTTCAAACGACTACTGTAATTTTCAAATTCTTAGGCCAACGCATTACATCATACACAGATTATAACTTCTCTGAACATTTCTGGTATCTCACTACCCGAAAGGCAATATGCTCGCAAATTGAAGAGTTCAGAGAAAAGCAATAAAACTAATTAAGGAGGCCCACAGATTGACTGATGGAAAGAGCCCAAAAAAAATTAAATGTGGGCTGTGTGGCCCTATGATGACCCGGTGGTTCTAGGAATGAGATGCAGGATCTGGAGGGAGAAGATTCCCGTCTGCAGCAGGCATTGGTCCACACAGACTCACAATGAAATAATAAACAAGAGCCTGGCGCTGACCCAGGTCCAAAGCCTGGGCTATGCCTGCATGGGCAGCTGCCAACACCCGCCCTTGCACTTCTGTGCCTCTTAGTGTAGGACTGGGGTAGGCTCAGACCTAAGAGAGGCTGGGGATATTGCCAAGGTCCCCCTATTTCTACTCTGGTACTTATCTAACTGTACTCTCATCCTATTCCTGGCTCCTTGAAATAGCCTGTACCTCAAAAGGCAGAAACCAAGGGCTGGTTAACATTATGCTTAGGAGTCTGGATTCAAAT